ATTTCATGGTCCAATTTCTTTTTTTAATAGTGTCCATCACACATGCAACTTTTAAAATAATATACTGAGCATTTTAATCCTGAAAAAATGTCTAACTCAAGTCATTCACAAAGACAACACAAAAATAGCCTGAAACCATCCTACATCAAGAATTGAATATTGTGTACTGGAAAGCAATTTCATACAGCACAGAAAGGAAAGATGTGACTACCTGCCATAAAGCAGTGTTTTGAGTGCCAAAATGTTTAGCAAAAAAGTGAGTGCACAAACTTGTTTTCCTTAAAAGCCAAATAAAATTAAATATATTGTCAGTATATTTTTTCCAATTTTTATTTTTCTACATTTCAGTAGCTGCCCTTTACATTGTGTGAAAATGTAATGATGAATGGACCACCAGAAGTGATTCAAAATTGCCTAGAACAAAATTTCTTATATTTATTAACTTACATATGAAGCAAAGAAAAGTTGCCATTTTGGAGATACTTGTTTTTCTTTGGACAGCAATGATTTATAACTCATGTCAGTGTTTTGGCATTCCCATTAGGATTTATAACATCTTATAAACAGCAAAATGAACTCACTTTACTCAAGGGCCAGAGACAACAAACATATCAGTACAGTGTCTTGGCATTGCCATAGGGTTTCATAAAATCTGATAAGCACAGATATTCACTTTACTTAGGGGCAGAGAAAATAACAGAGCATCCATATCAAAACCATCACAATGTAACAACAATACAGTAGATTTTCATTTCAGTGTCAAAGCATCTGTTTAGAAGTGTTCAACTTTGATTTTGCAACCCCACTTGTCAAGATGTGTAATCATCATTATGAGCTACAAAGTCAACTGTCATTACATGCTATGTCAATTAACCCCTGAAAGAATTATGACAACACCTAATGTCAGCAAAACACGTATATTATTTGACATAGGTGTTATGTCAACTTGACACTGAATTTGACTACAGCAGCCTTTATAACAACTATCGTTTATTGGAATAAGTCTTCATAAATGCTTAAGAACTGTAATATGGTGTTTTTAAATAGGCTTCTGCCTTATTAGCTCCATTACTTGGAAATGATGCTTTATAACAGTGGTATAAATTAAGCAAATGTCTGTCACTTTAGTTTAAGGCTGCTTATGTCAATACAATGACATTTAATTATCTTATGTCATTTTGGAATTTCTGGCATATGCTTAATGTGTAAATGATTGCAATAGAGATATCATCATATCGCCCAACCTAATGCATGTCTGATCTTAGAAATGTTCAATACATAAATGATATAAAGGTTTGACGGCAATTCATTCATCAGAATGCTCTATTGTTAAGGGGAACGATCTGTAGCTGATGTGCACAACAATTGGTTCAGCTGGTGGGCACAACGAAGCAAAGAATCTAAAAACACAAGTGTTTCAGTCTAACATCACAGAGTGTTGCATAAGTAGTTCGGAATGACCCAGAGTGAATAAATGCAGGATGTCTGAGTGATGATCTGAACTCGTCTCTTTTCTTCTCTCTCGCTGGGGATCTGTTAGTTCTACCACTCTTCCTCAACCTTTACACCTTTCCTCTACACTCTCCATCTCTCCCTCCCACATCTTGCACACTGTCTCCTCCCCTCAGAGCACTTTTGTTTTCCTTTATGCTCTAAAGGTCCTTACACATCTACCTTTTCCTTATCCCCTCTTCTTTAGTCTTATCTCCTCCAATCTTCTCTTCTCGTCTTCACTTCTTCAGTCTTTGTGTCTTTAATCTTCTCCACCTCAGTCTTTACTTCTCTAGTCTTCTCTTCTTTTGTACTCCTTTCCTTTCTTTAGTCTTCTCGTCTCTTCCTTAGTCTTCTTTAATATTCTTTTTTCTTCTTTAGTCCTCGCTTCTCTAGTCTTCTCTTCTTCAGTCCTGATGTCTTTAGTCTTCTCCTCTTTCGTCTTTACTTCTATAGTCTTCTCTTCTTTAGTCTAATCTTCTCTTCTTTGCTACTTTTCAGTCTTTACTTCATTAATATTCTCTACTTTTCTTTAGTTGGCCCTTTTAGTTTTCTCTTATTTACTGTTCCCTTCTTTGGCTTTCTCAACTCTTCTTTGTACTTCTCTTCTTTAGTACTTCTTTCTTCAGTCTTCTCTTCTTTAGTATTCCTTTCTTTATAGTCTACTCATTTAGTGTTCTTTTAGTCTGCTCTTCTGTAGCCTTCTCTAATTTTCTCTACTCTTCTTTAGTTTTTCTGTTTAGTTTTCTCTTCATTAATATTTTCTTCTTTTGCCTTTTCTCTTCTTTAACTTTCTCTCTTCTTTAGTTATTCCTTCTTTAGGTTTTGTCTCTTTAGTCGTCTCTTACTTTTTTTAAGTCTTCTCTTCTCAAGCTTTCACTTCCTTCTTTAGCCTTCGTCTTCTCCTCTTTAGACTATTCTTTCTTTCTTCAGTCTTTTTTAGTCCTGTCCAGTCTTCTCCTCTTCAACTCTTCACTTCTATAGTCTTCTTTACTCTTCTTCAGTCTTTTTTGCTTCTTTAGTCTTCTCTAGTTTCATTACACAATAGATCATACCCACTGAATAACCCAGTCCATACCAATATATACCAATGCATAACTGTGCATTGTTGACACATAAACAGGTCAGATCCTTATCAGGTGTCAGGATCAACAACGTATCATCCGCTCATTTAAGCTCTCATTTCAGATCTCAGCCACGTGCACTTTTTCTAGGTGACCTCATTGCACGCACCATGAGAGGGTGGGAGGAAGGCAGAGAGAGCTGCTCAAAAGTGAGCTGGGACGTTGCTAGCTGGGGGCTAATCATGTATCATTTACAGGAATCTGTTAGCAGTCACTGACCCTCCATCTCTTTTCAGCAGTCAAGCAGAGAGAAAAGAGAGAGAAAGATGGAGGAATCATGCATTCATTTACAGCATTTTAGGCCTCTGTTCTATTTTTGGGCCCAATCTCAGAGAGAAGCCTTCACAGATCTCCTCAGCCTCTTGAAAAATCCAACACCAACAGCATTATGCTTTCAATCTACTTTTCAGAGATCCCACTTTGTTTAATTATAAAGATACAGTCCATCACTGGCTTTGCAACCCTGAGAGTGCGCAATCTGTTCTCACTCACTGCACACTGGGCTTTCAGAACGACAGCACTCCAGCTTATCTACAGCAGCTCTGGCATAGAGGCATCTCTAAAGAGACCAGGAGCAGAACCAAGAGCTTTTTACATTACTCACACTCTCTATGAATTGTTTTGAATAAAAGACAAACAAGTAATGCATTAAACTGATTAAAATTCAAATGTGAGCATCATTTCCACATGAATAACACAGATCATATCAACACAGTTCTTGTCAAAAGTCAATTAAATGAAAGACAAAAGTGTATTGACTTAAAAAATTTTATTCACGTGGAAATGATGTACACCCAAGAAGACACTTTTTCAGTTCTAATAAAATTATGTGGAATCTATAAAAAAGATAAAGCACTGAACACTGCTCTACCACCAACTGTTATGTTAGCGCCAAGCTAACTCTGTACATTCACTGGCACCTGAAGCTCGTAATTAGCACTTTTTACTTTTCATAATGAATTTTACTTTCTTCAACAAATCCTTTAGCGTAGCTTGGTGTGGGCTCATGTAAGTTTCTTCTCTTTCAATGATGCACACAAAAACTTGCATGACAGTAGCTCCCTCTTCTGGAGAACACTTAGACTGCTAAAAAAGAGGGACTGGGTTATAGATCAGGACCATATGTAAAAATATCTAACTGGGAAAAGACTAATTATTAACGTGTGTGATGTGAATAAGTGTGTGATTGGATGAGAGTGACATCTGATAATTTGACAGAAATGACTTATTTTGTTGATTTTCTAAGCAAAAAAAGTACACAATCGAACATTTTCATGCACAGTGCACAGTTACTGGTTATTTGCTGCATTAGACATACTGGAAAAAACACACTGCCTTCATTGTTCTTCATAATCCCATAATACCCATATTTAGGTATTCAATTATCTGACCAAGATGTTGACTCTAATGGCTACAACAAACTAAAATGCAATCAAGCTAAATTCAGTAGTTGAAAAACAGAAAAATTGTTTCTTGCGTTGCTAATCATTGCAAATTGTGCAAACACTAATATGGAGTTTTTAGATGGTAATATAAATCTAAGCATGGCTGCTCTTTTCAAACCTTTCCTTTTTTCCAGAGTGTAATGCTGTGATTAGTGAAGTAATATATTTTCATAATGCACGTCCAGCATGGTGAGGTCAAATGTCCTGGAAATGACATGCCAAGTTCTGTCACAGTCAGTGGTAAACAGAATCTTGTGGTAAACAATCATAAAGCTACTATGTGCCTGAACTTGTTTAAAGCTTCTGTTCCATCTATCAGACAGCAGGAGTCTGAGAAAGGATAACTCTCGCTCCTCTGTGACTCATTAAATCATTCTCTGAGCCCCCTTTTCTCTCACCGCATGGGAAGGAGGAGATGGACAGAGATAGACAGATAGAGAGAGAGAGAGAGAGAGAGAGAGAGAGAAAGAGAGGAAGTCTCCACCAGTGCCAAGATCAACACTTGACCAAACTCTGAACTGGGATTCGGGCTGGCATTCATACAGAATGTAAAAGAAGGAAGACCATCTTTTATTCATCATTAGCAGAGCTAGCATAGCTTTGGCGGGATTTCAAGATTACGCTAGATCTCATCACAAGCAGAAACCAAGATCAGGCAGAAAATAAAACTTCCTGAAACACAGGTGCTCTTTGTAGATCTACAGTTCCTGACTGTAGCTCATCTGTTGCTGCACAATTTATCTGCCTTGCTCTGCCCTGTCTGTCAATGGAAAGAGACCAGTGTAAGGCTACCACTGAAGTTACTTAGGTAATGTGAAGTATTTCACATTAAATCATTCTGAAAAAGTCAACAACTGAACAATGCAGAAATTTTGAAAAACCTGTTGAACTTTATGCCAATGGAGACAGACAGTAGACTTACAGTTTTTAAAGTTCTTACCTGGTGATTTCCTCCTTAAGAGCAGCAGGGTCTGGTGGGTAGAATTTGACCCTCAGACACATGGTAAATGGAGGCTGGGCTATGGGGCAAAACAAAACAGTTTGTGTTGAGTAAAATGCTACTGTTGACAAATTTGCTTTGATATACTAGCATTTAGAAACTGCTGAATTCTCTTTGTTACCCATTAAGCAGTTTGTCAAAGTAAAGACATGGTGTGACTTTAAAAACAGTCTCTTAAAATGAACCCACCTAAAGTGGAAAACTTACCAATCAGATTCATTAATAATTTTATCACATAAAAAAAAATATTTCAGCTGGAGCATAAATGTAAGACCCCCAGTGTTTATCAGCAGCAGGTAATATTGATATATTTAGTCATCAAGCTACTCTGAGGGGCTCTAAAATTACTGAAAGATTTTAAGAATGTGACCTGAAACCTGTATAAAAGAGCATTTCTGTTCAACAAGCAACATCCCTAAAGTATTCATGCAATAAAATATGGCTCATTACAGTCTTCCTAGAGATGATGCTCCATTGCGGCAATTAGCACCGTATGACTAGGCACTGACTGAAAGTACTTACATTTCATTTGCTTGGAGATTGACTTGGAAAACTCCAACCAGTGCTGAAATAAGAGAAAAGAGTCTTAGAGCTTCAGGGTGTAATGTGCTCCCATGCAGACAATTCAGAATACACACACACACATACACAAACACACACACATATCATGTTCAGAGGCAGCACACACACTTGTACTACTCTTTATGGGGGTTTTGCTCACAGCTATGTATTACTGTAGCTATACACTGTTGTAGTGTTATTGAAACACCTTCAGTTTAACCATCAGTCACCAAATGGGTGACTGTAATGGTTAAAACAGCCCTTCATCTTTTCATGGGAAGGGGCAAAACATCCCTAAAATATCAGAATTTATATTGTCTTCTTTTGGTTTATGTTTTATGTTATTGTTGGAACATCTAATCAACACTAAGAGAGTAAATCGAAGCACACGTCTTTCTGTTCAACAGACCCACCAGGACTTTGCAGCCATTTTTCATGAGTGTTGCAGACTAAAATGCTTGATTTTGCAGCAGCATTTTCGAAATTGAAAAAAAAGTATGTGTCAGTGACTGCAGTGCAGAAAAGTGTGAAGATCATGAGTGTAAAATTTGTTTTAAACGTAGCCTAGTTAGGTTTGACTGACATGCAAAATAAACACAGACTGGTGTTTTAATGTGACGGGTAAGAGCAGGCTAGAAACAAATGAGTAAATGTCAGCCAACACACAAGGATATGCTGCTTAAAAGCTACGAGTTGCCTCAAATGAATCTAATTTTTCGAGCAGGAAACTGCTCGAAAAAGACAAGGAAGATCGTTCTCACAGACATGCAGATAGGCAATCAGAATGGAACTGACAAAATCACAATACTTGTGGCCAGTTTAGCTTAAATATCAGCTGCTACGTGTGGGTGGCACATGTTCCTCGTACATTGTATAGAAGCTGCATGCTTCGTTTTTAAAACATCTCACAGATTTACATGTTTAGTGTAGAAATAATGTGGTGACTGGACAAAACTGCAAGCTCTGGTAAACAGTGTGAGGATTTGTTGAATTATCAAACTTGGAAAATTCCTGGAGGGTCCAATATCAGGATGTTCAGTTTATCACTATGTATAGAAATATATATTTCCTATATATATGTGGCTGAGTGATTTGACAAAAAATATAACATAATGATACTTCAAAACAACTGCATGAAAAATGACATGTATCATGATACACTTGTTAAGTTGGAACAGACAGAAGGAAACCAGTAATTTAAAAATGAATATCCAAAAACTAATGATAATGATATTTAATGCACATATCGTTTATTTAGTGTCACATATTGTACCTCACCAAATCAAATGAGTTAATGAGTTGGGATAGTTATGCTCTCTTTGTAATTCTTTAAGCATATAACTTTCTGCATAACATGGATAAAACAGGAACTCAGCCGAACAATCCACTCAGTGTCGGCCTTTTAGGCTCCCATGTGGAGTCACACTGCTTATATGCAGTGAGACTAGCTCATATTACCTACAAAGTGTACTGAAAATAAAATGACTAGCAAACGGAGGAAAACAGGTGTGTTTGGAAATACACTTGGAAATACACTGGTTTACAACACAGATAAACCCAAAACTGACATTTTTAAAGTTTATTTGTGGCTTCGGAGATGGGTAGAAAATAACATCCTGACCTCTGTCACGGTTTGGAGTGTATTTTAAGTCACACAGGCTCATTTCACAGACCAATGCACAAACGTACACGCTGAAATGTGGCTAGCAACGAATGCTAAGCAGTGATTTGGGGAGGGGTGGGGACAAAAATGGGCCGGGTCTTGAGATGGTGTAAAACACAGGTCTGATTGAGTCCCTGATGTTAGCAAGCTTGTCGCGCCCCTTTCTTGTAGCATGGCACACAGCTTGTGTTGCATACTGGATTCTACAGTATACTACTGATGAAGAGCAGTATGCAGTATTCAGTATATACAGATGCAGTACGCAGTATACAGTACACAGTATGCTATTTCGAACACAGCCCATGATATTATATTATTACTGTCCTTCTAGTGGAAAACACAGTGATGCAAATTTGAGTTCATACTGCCAACCCCTAAATTTGAACCCAGCACTAAAAATGAATAAATAAAAATGGTTTTGCACTTTCAATGTAAAAAAAAAAATGAAACAAGTAGCTTTTGTAAAAAGCACTTTACATTGTCAAGACCATTTTCCTGGCACTGACAATGTATGCTCTCCCTGCTTTCCTCTGCTATTCTACAAAGTCAGGACAATTTTTCCTGAAAACACATGCATACACACAAGTGCACGCACACACTACGACACATCTATATTTCATTGTGTGCATTATTATTACCTGAGGAGCAGACAGCCAGTGTGGGAAGATGAGCTTTCCAATACCAGTTTCTGTGTGTGTGTGTGTGTGTGTGTGTGTGTGTGTGTGTGTGAGTGAGTGAGTGTGTGTGATAGAGAGAGAGAGAGAAGGTTAGGGTATGGAGCGCATCTATACCAATCATCTCCATTCTCTTCCCTCCGGAATCAAACATTAGCACGTCTTCGACACCATGCTGAGCCTCTGTCAGTGCCATCATGCATTATAGCAGATAAGCCAAATCAGCTAAGCTGTGCTGCCACATCACAGAAAGCTGTACATTTCCAACTCGCCATCAGTACAGGCACAAAAACAGGTCCAGAAATAGCTTACAGCTTTCTATCCAGATTGAGTTTCGGATTGTTGTGACCTAAAGGTTTTGGCCGTCAATACTTCTCCCTCCCTGCTATCATTTTTCTGCAGGCCTGTTTAGCTTTTAAGCATATTTTGCCAACAAGTAGCAATCCAGAGGGAACTGTAGGGGGTTCAGCAGTCAGGGTGTAAGAGCTGTACTGTCGTTTCAGGTTTACAGCATGTAGTCTGCAGCAGGGCTCACATCCCTCAGCTGCCCTCATTATTATTTATGTCACTCACTGCGAGGGGTCCCAAAGGGGGTCAGCACAAAAGAGAGCCATGACAGTGTGTATGTGTGGTGGGTGTTAAAGTGTGCACTGTCAGGTCTGTCAGGAAAATGTCTTTTCTGTTGTGGTCAGGGTGACTTTAGAGGTCATTGCCTTTTCTGAGGTCATCATGCAGGGAAGGCATAAGACAAAACAAAAGCAACAGGCAAAGTTATTTAGTAGGGATGTACTGATGTGATCCAGGCATAATTTAGTGGATCAGGTATTGGCCAATCTAATTCTGATCATTTGTTTTTTATTTTTTTTGCGTTCTACTTGTTGTAGAAGTGATGTAAACGAGTACTATCCACAACTTGCAGCAGTGGGGCCCATTTTCACAAGTTTAGATAGTCGCCAGTGTTTCAACACTGACACGTCAAATGTGAATGAGTGACAATCAAGTCTACTTTCTGTCCCTTGTTGTGAGTAGCATGCCACAGAAACATTCTGCTTTACCAGTCAAGCTGCTTGTGGTTGCTAAATGTATGAAAAATTGATAAATAAAATGATAAAGTAATTATTTCACATAACTAGTCCACAAAAAAAAAAACCTAAAGATATAAGATGACATTGTATACCACTGTGCACAAATAAAAAATAAACTTATTTCACTGCAGAATATTATAAAGTGTAACTGGAAGCCAAATCATCAGGTAGGTCAATCAAATTTGATCACAAGCCAATATTAAACACAACATGGTCAAAAAGTAGGCCAAAAAACAAAACATATCAATCCAGAAGGTCACATTATGTACATACTAAAAATGAAGGAACTTTATTTTAACATTAATTTTAGCACCTCAGATAAATTATGTGGCTGTATGAAAACACAAAGATCAAAAAGGTATCGGCTGATACTTTACATTAAAGTATATTATTGTCAGTTTGCTGCAAACTGCTCAAATTCCTTGAATGTCACACTCACAGTGGAACCTTCAGCAGCCTCAGCAGCAGCAAAACAGAACCATTCATTTTAATGGAGAGATAACTATTCAGAATGACTTTACGCAGCAATTCCTGTGCTAGCAAAGACCACTAAACCAAAACAGACAATCAGTATAAACATTAAATCATGATACAGTGGTGTGCACTGCAGCAGAGGTGATACTGCTATACTGCCTTACTGATGAACATATTAAACTTTCATATCATGCTCACATTAGTAGGCTATTATGAGGTTAAGCCATATGATAATAATATGAAGCTATTACACAATGAAAAAAACTATGCCATGTTGAGCTATGGGCTTTATTTCATTCTTGTCAGGCCTGCATACTACATTTGCCTTGTGGTTTCATTCATGCACTATACCCAAGCACATCTAACAACCTTGCCTGTGCCTGATTCATTCTTCCCCTCATTCTGGAAATTTCTTTCCACTCCAGCTCCTCCAGCTCAACCCTATCACATTAAAACCACTCCAGCAAATGAAAATGCTGGTAGGTTCCTCCCTCTGATCCAGGTGGACCACAGCACTCTGTTTTTGAATTCTGCATGAACCTCACAGAGTGGATGACTTCGAGCACCCTCAGAGCACCAGGTCCATATGCGGTTGACTAGCTGTGGTGCACTATGAGGAGCAAATATATATAAAGCAGTAAAAAGGCAGGGAATGTGAGAGAGTACTATGCTGTTCAGGTATAATGTTCTATACAGAGAACACAGTATTGTGCAAAAGCACCTAAGCAATCTGGGCAGTAAGTGTGTATCTGCTTTTAAAAAGAACATAAAAAAATCAAAAAACATCAATTCAGTAAAAAGTAAGAAGAATTTCTTGTTTTCAAAAAAGTAGTTCATGCACCATGATGCACTTAAATGGTTAGAAACTACTGTATTAATATCACTTGTATTTATTCCAATATTAGTTTTTCTGAGCAAATGAATGCTTACTGCCCAATTAAATAGCTTTAAAAGTACATTTCTAAGAAGCCTATAACTTCTGCACAGTACAGTACATATTTTATAGAGCAGTTAAATTATTATATCATGATTAATCACATTATTTAATAACATTATTTTCATCACGAAACTGAACATGAAAATCACCTGATTTTTACAGGGTGAACCTAGTTTCCAATTCTCATCACCGACATCCACAGAGTGACAGTGACTACATTTTCCAACCAATGAGTGTATATATCATAAATGTATGTGGTGGAACAAACTTCCACTGGCTGTCAGAAAAGATGAGTCCCTTAATGTCTTCAAACAGTGAATTTCCCCTATGCTGCACCTTAATTCTCTATCTTTCTTTCTAGTATCAGCGCTGGCTTTTGTTTCTGCCAGTGTCTGAGTTTAAGTGTAGTTTGGACTTAAATCTATTTGTACAAGTTAGGGAACATTCTATGAGTGGACAATGAAGTATTTTGTATGTCGAATGTAAATGACCTCAACTCCTTCATGATTGTAGACTCTCACTCTGATTCTCAATCATGCAACTCGTAGATTCTTGTTACAGTGGAAAGGAACTGGAGCTACACTTCGCAATTGCTTTTCTCAGTTTGCTGCTGGATAATTTATCCATATGTCTCCCTCGAGCACTGTTTGTTGTGATCTGAAGGTGTTGAAAGTATCGCTTTAAAAATCATTTAATAGCTGTATCTGTATGAGGGGAACATAATTGCGGATTCTATCATATAAACATGCAGGGTTACTGCCAGGACACTTCGACAGACAGCTTAAAGGGTCAAACCAGGAAAATGCATTAACAGCATTAAAGCTTTAGTGGCATTAATCATTCATTATGTCAACTTGCTATTAATATGTTAACACTCATTATCCATATTACACTTTAGTAAAGTATACTAGTAACTGTAGACTATAGGTCTACAGCTATAATCAAAAGTTTTAGTGCCCCAAATTTAACCTATTTTGAATTTAACATGTTGGAAAAAAAAAACATAAAATGTGACCTGTGTTTTATAGCACACTTTTAACAAATACATTAAAGAAAATAAATAGAAATTGTGCACTAAAATTAGCAGAAAAATATTTAAGCATGTTCTCTGTAGAGGATGTGTTCACTTATTTTCAGTTGAAATAAGTATGTCTAGAAATAGGTTAAATAATCTTATAATGATCTATTAATAGACTCATAATGAGAAAAAATTACATAAACTCTCCTTGGACACTTATTAGATATATGTACCTTGTCCTTTCCCTCTCTGGCCACCTTATGAACTCTGATCTTATAGGTCACTGCTCTGATGAACAATTACAGATTGTAGCCCATCTGTTGTCATTCTCAGTTTGTCAGTCACCCTCTACCCCATTCATCACTTCCAAGCACACGACCACTGTTGACCAGGTGTTATTTGGGCGTTGGACCATTCTCAACACAGCAGTGACCCTGACATGGTGTCCTAGTAGTGTGTGTGGTGGTATGAGTGTATCAGGCACAGTGGTTTAACCGGGGTTTATTCACACATCCGTGCCACTGAAAGGCTGTGAGTTGTCCATCGCCCAAAATATTCAGCCAAGTGCGACTCTGCGGTCAGAAACCGGACTGCAGAAACTTTGCTAAGCTATAGAACGGCTAACACAAGCTGGATGTATGAGGTAGGGGGTTCTGATGAAGTGGAGGGTGAGCGTATATATGGTTTGTATATATCAGTATCATTATAAGCTATGTGTATGGCTATTGTTAAAAATTCTGGAAAAAATCATGTCAGTCACCCACACTACACCTCTGTCAACCTGTTAATTACTGCCAGCATAATGCACGCAAAGACACTCACCCTTTGCTTGTCCGGGTCCACATATCTGATGCCAAAATAATCCTTTTCCAGCAGGTTCAGGTGGTGGCAGATAAGATCGAACAGATACTGACCCTTGGCATCCCTCTGGAAAGACAACAGAAAGAGGCCAGCAATCAATATTTATGGTACCTTTGGATAAGCTGTTTTTAATTTCACTGAAGGAGCTAGAGGGAGGGACATGGCTAGCCAGCCAGTGAACCCTAAAGTCTCTTAATTACTAAGAGCAGAACGCAGTTCACATTCTTCAGTAATCTCCGGAGAGATTATCTGATATTAATGCCCAGACATGACCATCTGCAGAGTCAGGCACCAAAAAAAATGAATGAAACAACAGAGAAAAACAGAGAGACAGACAATGAGAGAGAGAGAGAAAGAGAGAGAGAGAGAGAGAAAAACAGAGACAGAGAGAGAGAGACAGACAGAGATAAAGCTGGTGTGGGGGGGATACACACACCCCTATTCCTAGATGTTCTTGCACATGAAGTGTTGTGTTTGTAAATGCCTACAGACAGTTGTCTCCTAGCCTTGTTGACTGTAGCACATACAGTTAAACCATTTGACGTGTATTTGGTTTTCAACTGTCTAAAATGTTGGAAGATCATAAGTTCGACCCACAGCGATGCCATAGCCATACATAGATGGGAGTTCAAGAAAGCATTATTAATTTCGCTCTTTCTGGGTGGGTAGAGCCTTTGTTCTCCCTCCATCACTCAGTGTGATGCTAGCAGAAGCCTGTTAGCTTACATAAAAGAATTGGCAGTTAGTGTTCTCCTCCAAGCATGTTGAGTATGGTGGAGCTTCAGATGTGTTGGAGGACGCATGTGCTAACCTTCACCTTCAAAGCTTGGTAGTATTGTTCAACAGGGGGAGACTAGCGAGTTGGTGGGAAATGGCCAAGACTGAAGTGGGGAAAAACTGGGTAGTTATGTACAAACAAACAAGTACTAATTAAAGGCCTAAACTGATACTGTGAATAATTCAATCAAACAGACAAGCAAAACTATCAATCTTCCTGTCACCAGAAATATTCGCAATTATAATGCAGCATTATATCAGTGTGGTAACTGGCTTTGTTATTACTTTGTTAACATTATTTTTATATAAAACTGTTCATCAACCTCACCAACATAAGCTCAATATGACTGTATTTATTAAAATAATATATGCCTAACCAACAAGCTTTTTCCCAACTGGACAGCCCTCAAAAACCAGACACCTGGCAACCCCAGCTAGACCAACATAGGTGTCACGTAGGCCTGGGCAATAAAACGATAACAATAATTATCGCGATATAACTTTTCCTCGATAGAGCGATAAAACAGGTTCGATAAATTTTCGATATATTATACCGTTCTCACACTTCCACGTTCTAGCGAAAGCCCTGGTGGCGTTTTCTACTGCAAGGAAAGCGACACTCCTCTGCTGTCACCAGGAGAGGGCGCACTTCCGAGTTTCTCGACATGATTAGAGAGGAAGGGGGCCACGAGTAAGAGGAGTCTTTAGCAACGGCTGAAACGTGGAGTTATACATTCCCTGTTTGAGTGGAACGATCGGCAATCTGTTCTCGAAAGTAAACTGAGGAAGGCTGTGAGGCATTGGAAAGTGGGAGAGCGCTATCTTTCCAGGCTAGCTGTTTTTAGCAGCTGGCTAACTTGAAGTAGCGCTCCGTCACTCGCACAACACGGCGAATTGATGTTACTGTAGATCAAACAAGACACAAAAGCACCGCTTTCAGTTTAAACACACCTAAAAGGAGGACTCAGTTCGTCTGGTGTTAAATATATTGCGGTTCACCCCTTAAACTACTACGATAGAATAGAGAAATCCAGTCGTCTGCTAGCTGGTGTTTGAATACTGTGATGTGCTCTTACATGTACGTGGTAGGAGTGATGACAGTAAGGCAGTGTGATCCATCACTGACGTACCGAGCCAGCTAACGTTTGCTGTTCGTACTAAGTTGACGTTGTTGAGAAACTAAACAGTTTAGCACTGTTGTTGGCCGCTGGTTTAGCATTTGTAATGGGATAACCTAGCACTCGTCACCAGACAGCTAAAAATAATCTTTTCTTTCTTATATTATGACTATTACAAAAACTGTGGCCGTGCTTTTCCAACTGATAAAAACAGCTCACCAGAAACTTTCTCCCACTCTCCCATGACAGATTTGTGAAATGTTCCACTGTTTGGTGAGTGTTTGTCGTGTTCCGACCATAGAGGATAGTTTAAAACAGCAATTAACCACCCAGGAGCAAAAATCAGCCTTCAAACTTGAAAGAAATAATGATTTGACATTTATCTCGATATGTATCGATATTCATTAATGTTTTTAATACAGGGAATAGTTATAGCTTGGAGCAGATAACAAACTGGCAATATGTTACACTGAACGGGACACGCCCCCTCCGCCCCCTTAAATCTACGCCCATATCATTTTTTACATAACTAACTATGCTTATTACTTCACTGAACTTAGGCAGTGTCTTGATCTTTCCAACATGCTGAATTTCACTACTCTTAAAGTGAGAGAGCAAAACAGAGGATTTCCAATCTCTAAGGAAAGATCACGCACCTGCAGGAGCTGTTTCTAGCAAAAACCACTCTCCCCCATCAAACTCCCAAATGCTCATTAGCATCTGAAAGGCAGTGTCATCCAGAAATGTTTTTTCTTCTCCAATAATATCATTTCTGAAGCACTATTTGAATCGCTGTGGAAGTGATTAGAGTTTGCGGCAGAGAGCTTGAGGTGTTCGTGGCTGCTGCTTAGATTTGCATAAGCAGGCACCTTGCCTGATTAAGACTGGTTGTAACACCTCAGCAGCTGACACCTTCTCTCTCCAGCAGCACGAAACAGATTTCATTCAGCGTAACCTTAATGGGCGTATCATATCAAGAAAAGGTCACATTCATCAGTCTGCAAAGCCAAACTGTATTCTAAGAGGTTGTAGAAATTGCTGTTTACTTTTGGTATAAAAGTCAGAACTCTGCACACTTCAAGGGCAAAGCACCTCTTTTTCTGCAGCTACGTTCAAGTATGGCTAGAAGCTTAGCTGTGACCTGGCAATGTGATTTAAGTCTGTCAAGTGTCATGTATATCTATATATATATTTTATCAGTGGAGCTGATAAAATGGACAATGAGCGTAGAAACAAGGAGGTGGTCATAATGTTATGGCGGATCGGTGTATATATATATATATATATATATATATATATAACATATACATATATATAATATATATATATATATATATATATATATATATATATATATATACTTGTTTCTACGCTCATTGTCCATTTTATCAGCTCCACTTACTATACATATATTATGTACATACACTACTATATAGGTGCACTTTGTAGTTCTACAATTACAAAATTACAGACTGTAGTCCATCTGTGTCTCTGCATATTTTCTTAGCCCCCTTTTACCCTGTTCTTCAGTGGTCACAGAGCAGGTACTATTTGGGTGGTGGATCATTCTCAGCACTGCACTGGTGGTGTTGTGTTAGTGTGTGTTGTGCTGGTAGGAGTGGATCAGACACAGCAGTGCTGCTGGAGTTTTTAAACACAGTGTCCATTCACTGTCCACTCTATGAGATACTCCTACATTGTCAGTCCACCTTGTAGATGTAAAGTCAGAGACGATAGCTCATCTGCTGCTGCACAGTTTGTGTTGGTCGTCCTCTAGTCCTTCATCAGTGGTCACAGGACGGTGCCCACAGGACGCTGTTGGCTGGATATTTTTGGTTGGTGGACTATTCTTAGTCCAGCAGTGACACTGAGGTGTTTAAAAACTCCAGCAGCACTGCTGTGTCTGATCCACTCAGACCAGCACAACACACACTAACACACCACCACTACATCAGTGTTACTGCAGTGCTGAGAATGATCCACCACCCAAATAGTACCTGCTCTGTGAGGGTCCATGGGGGTCCTGACCACTGAAGAACAGGGTAAAAGGGGTCTAAGAAAGTATGCAGAGAAACAGATGGACTACAGTCTGTAACTGTAGAACTACAAAGTGCACCTATATAGTAAGTGGAGCTGATAAAATGGACAATGAGCATAGAAACAAGGAGGTGGTCATAATGTTATGCCTGATCGGTGTACAATAGCAATCAACTGTTATCACATTAAAATTAAGTGGTAATAATAATTTCCACACAATTATTATTTGGTCAACAGTAGTGATGTGGTCACCATCCAGAGTCTTGTTTTGTGATGTCATACTGCCTGCTGTTCAGATATAGGAGGAGACAAAAGAAGCTGCTCCAAACACCTGTAGCTTCAAGCAGAGGATAAATAAATGCATGCTACTCAGGAAGTCTTTACATTAGAGTGACATCACAACATGCCTGCCCAGAGAGGATGGACAATAGGGAGGAGGCCAGCTGTGTCTTTGTGTCACATAGGGAGACATTGGAGCCAGTATGTATGCACAAGTTCGAATTATGAACACAGACCAAAGACTTTACTGAAAACTCACAAGGAGTTGACTCGCTAGACAAAGGAAGACTGAGTCTGGCTACTTATACATATGGCAAGAGTAGACACCCCTAATCTTGTCCAGGACGGTACAAGGGAGGAGCCAAAACAATAACGAGAGCACATAGCTAGAGGATTTGAGGGAGCAGAAACACTCATTGTTTTATGTGTTTTGTATTTGATGTAGAATAAAACACAATTAAATTAAATTAAATAAAGAACATAAAAGAAAAGGCCTTACTCAAACATAAACTGGCTGGCCAGGTTTAACAACATATTTGATATCAGGAGTATTAGGGGTGTGCTTCAATATGCCAGGGTTCCATGCCGTCAGGTAATCAATAATCGATTTCAAATTTGGTGATGCTAAAGTGGATCAACTGCCCAGTTTCCCCAATTACTGCTCTACATTCCTGCTACAGTAGGAAAGGGGGGCAGGGGTAACAGTGAAAGTTTCTGGACGCAGCCCCAGCGTTGCTGTTATGTTGTCAAAGGGAAGTTGCACAAAGGAGTAAATGCAATGATTACAATGTGTTTTTTTTAAAATAGATATTTCTATTAAGGGTTCTGTTTTCTTAGACAAAAACATTAACTTCATTTAAATGT